CTCTAGCAAAATCTGAAAAACTTTGTCCCAACTGATTTGAAACACAGCCGTTGAGAATGCACTGCTTAGGTTTGGTAGTTATTAATCAGCCAAGTGACAAGTGACTTTGAGTAGCACGTCTGGAAAGAGGAACTTTTCCTGTGTGGTGGATGTGCTTGCAGGCAATTTTGACGCATGCCCTCTTTTCTTTCTAGCTACACATAATTGAAGTTGGTCAGCCAGCTACAGGGAATCAGCCGTTTGTTAAGAAAGCTGTTGATGTGTTTTTTCCACCTGAGGCACAGACAGATTTTCCTGTGGCAATGCAGGTAAATGCTTGGCTCGAATGCATCCTGAACTTAAGTGACTTGACAGCTAAACCGGAGTTCCTCTACTTAGTTGAATTACAACTCTTAATATCCAGCAAAGCTATTCCTTGCTTCTGAGTTGGCAAGGAAGAAGTCTGAAGCTATATTTGCTATCAGTGTCAGTGCAGAGGCATTTCACTGCAGTACAGTCTTGTCATGAGGCTAAAGGCAACTGTCTCGAGTTTCTTTTCTTTCTCTGTTTTTATTTTATTTTTTTCCTCTTCAGTGTAGTCAAGACTAAGACTGCAATACTTATCTTTTGACAGATTGGAATTAAGCATGGTGTAATCTACCTGATCACAAAGTATGGATATATTCATATGTATGACTTGGAGTCTGGAGTGTGCATCTACATGAACCGTATTAGTGCTGATACTATCTTTGTCACAGCTCCTCATGAACCTACCTCAGGCATTATTGGTGTGAACAAAAAAGGACAGGTAACAAATCCAGATATGTTTTTTGAGCCTTCTAATGTTTGGATGGACTATAATAAAGTTCATGGAAGAAACAGTTACCGAGTGATCCTGATGTGCAAGTTCTACTTGCACAAAATTGAGGAGGAAGAAATCTGCTTGTTCTTCTGAATAACCTACTGTATCACTGACAAGCTGCTCAATTGCAGCTTTGCTGTATTTAGCAGTAGATATATAAAGGATGGTACTTCTCAGTTTTGCCTTTGTCTCTTCCAGGTGCTTTCTGTATGCGTTGAGGAAGACAACATTGTGAACTATGCTACTAACGTTCTCCAGAATCCTGACCTGGGTCTGCGTATGGCTATCCGTAGTAATCTGGCTGGGGCAGAGGAATTATTTGCCAGGAAGTTCAACACGCTTTTTGCTCAAGGAAACTATGCAGAAGCTGCTAAAGTAGCAGCATCTGCACCAAAGGTAGGCAATTCCAAAGCTAAGACTTTGAAGTTGAGAACTGCTTTAGGTTTTATACTTTGTTGAAAATGCTCCACTGAAAACTCTAGGTTGGCTGTACTCCAGACTGGATCATCTTGCTGAGAACTGTGATTCAGAGTCAGTCCAGAGCAAGACCTGCAGTTATCCCAGGTGCTTGTACAGGATGAGGAGCCACTGGCTAACATTCACTTGCATTTTGGCACTTGGCACTTAAGAACAAATGAAGTGGTATAATACTAGCCTTACCTGTCTCAACAGTTGAGTTGTTTGTCCTGGATACTGTATTGTCCTGTGTCACATCAAGCAGCATCTGATTTCCTTTCCAATCATGGGTTGACTTAACTTGTTGTGGTCACTGACTTCTTGCTATAACATCACTATGGCTTGGGTTTAATCCAGATCTGTACCCTACAGGATTTAGAATAGATACCTTAGTGTGTAGCTGAGCGTAACACACTTTTATTTTTCCTCCCCTGTGCCCTGGGTTACACTATTCATTTTCATTAAACATTCACAAAATTTAATTAAATCTTGTCTCTTCAGGGAATTTTGCGTACTGGTGATACAATTAGGAAGTTTCAGAGTGTGCCAGCTCAGCCTGGGCAGGCATCTCCCCTGCTCCAGTACTTTGGAATATTGCTTGACCAGGGACAGCTGAACAAGTTTGAGTCTCTGGAACTCTGTCGCCCTGTGCTACAGCAGGGTCGCAAGCAGCTTCTGGAGAAGTGGCTGAAGGAAGACAAGGTAGGCTTGGATCATCTAATCTAAATGTCTAACGTCGCTTGTTGGAAGGTCTTTTTCCAGCCATTTTGATTCTGTGATGCTAGGTTAGTTCTGCCTTGTAACAGTTGAATGTGAACAGTAACGTTTCCTAGTAATTTGTCAAAGAATTCATCTCCTCTGCCTGACAAAGAACTAATTCTGACTCTTTCTTTCAGCTGGAGTGCTCAGAGGAGCTGGGAGACTTGGTGAAGACAGCTGACCCAACCCTTGCCCTCAGTGTCTATCTTCGTGCTAATGTTCCAAACAAAGTCATCCAGTGCTTTGCTGAAACTGGTCAATTCCAGAAAATAGTGCTGTATGCTAAAAAGGTGGAGTTTATAGTAGACTCATCTATGCTTAACCTATACATTCCCAAGCTATCTTCCCTGAGATAAGCTTAGTTTCTGTCACTCAAAGATAAGTAGCTAAGATTGAGAAACAGGTGTTTTCTTCATTCTTGTAGTGCATGTGGTAGTGTGTGACTAAGCTCTGCACAATCTGCAGAAGTTAACTTGGAACATCCAGAATTATGGAAAAATAATTTGCAAGTATATAATTTGCAGTGGTTCAGGCTAATTCTAGAGAACAAAAGAGAAGGCTGTTCTGAAATACATTAGACAGGCTTTTTTTCTGACTGGTTACAAAGCAGCTATTTAAACTTAGGGTCTTGCTTGATAGTACCTTAAGACTTCAAAGCTTGTTCCTACTCCTTGCCTAGCACAAGTTTAGTTACTAACCAAGTAGGTGACTGTTCAATTTTTGGTGTCAGCAGCAAGGTATCTTTTTTGTCGCAGATAAACAGGAAAATTAAGGTTTGGGCATGGCAAGCCTTAGACCAGGTGATAGTCAATGCTGAAGAACCTCTATGCTTAAAGGAGGCTTAAGCCCCTAGACATGCGTGACTCGTGTCTCTGCTGAAAACTCTAGGTTGGCTATACTCCAGACTGGATCTTCTTGCTGAGAAGCGTGATGAGAGTCAGTCCAGATCAAGGCCTGCAGTTCTCTCAGATGCTGGTACAGGACGAGGAGCCACTGGCGAACATTAACCAGGTGATGCCCACAGCAAGAGTACTGGTCTCTTTCTAGACGGAGGTAATCGCATAGTACCATTTTGCTGACTGGTAAGGCCAATTCAGGTCTCTAGTTGGCTTGGTTAGAGAAGTTTGATTAGTAGTCAGTTATTAGACAGGTGTGTTTGCAAGTTCCTGCAGAAGCTCTCTGATTTATTACAGTAATCCTGATAGTGAGTCTGTCATTGTCTTGGTCTAAGCAGTAATGAGTGTTACAGCCCACTTAAAGCTCCTGTTGCTGGCTCTAACTGAGCATACATTAACTTCTCTTGTTCAGAGAACTTCCAGGAAGATGGACAAACAAACCTAAAACGAGTGCTGGCTCCCAGAGACTGCTTCAGGTGAATGGGCAGAAAAATAAGGCAACAATTTAGGTTATTTAATAACTAAAGCTATTTAGTTTCTGTAAGAAAAGCTAGTATTTCTTCTATTTGAACAGATGGGGGGTGGGATTTGCAAGCCATGTT